TCTGGGTTTGTCTTGTCCACTGTCTCTCTTTCTATAGTAAAGTGTGAGGCAGTTGGATCATAGTGACTCATTTTGGTCCTTGTAGCTTCTCGGAGTTTGATTTTCCAGTTACAAGAGACACTGAATTAATTTTTCTGTGTAACCTTTGAAAAATAATAAACCCCAAAATGTAGTTTAGTTGGAAATGTATAACCAGGCTGAAAGAGAAAGATGGGGTTTCCCTGGGAGGCTAAAGAGGAGGTCTCTTCATCTGTTTTTCAGACAAGAAGGAAAAGACACATGAGCTGTCCTGCTCAACAGTTGCAGAAGAACTTGAGCCAGTTTCGCGTGTTCTGCGGGGAGATGACATCCAGGCACTCGCAATCAAGGTGGAGGACCTGGAGAAAGTATGTATTTTTGCTGGTAGAAGCAGCTGCCTCACCTGACACTCTCCTTCCTTTTTGTGTGTTTAACAGAGGGGGCTGTCCATTTTCTTAAACCAAACCCCACTCTTGGAATGAAATTCTCATCCCATTTTGTCTGTCCTGCTTTTTATATTTCATCAAGTTCAGTTAGTAACAGTTAAAGGATTATCAATCCTTACACAGTCTTCAAATGGAAGGTTACATCATCTGCCTGATCAGAATGACATTTCCAGCTTTCTGATCTAACAAGGTGTGGATGCTGTTTAGTAACTGTTGTGGTGTCCATTCCAAAACGTGGGTCAGACTGTGTGAGTGGAAGTGTTTGATGCAAACTGGCACAGCAGAAAACTACTGGGAAAGTGATGCAAAACTTTCCTGCCTCAGTTGCAAAGCAGAGTCCAGAAGAGTAAGACAGGAACTAAGCTGGTGTTCTGCAGCTGTGTATTGTTCCTCTCAGGGGAGAAACAGCCCATGCTAATGTCACTGCTCTGCGTATCCTAAAAGGATCAGAAGGAGCAGAGGTGAGTCAGTGTGGGCCTAATTGTACAGTGACTGTTTCTTTTCTGAAGCTGCATGCTCCACACCCTCCCCGTGATGCTGGGAGAATTCCAGTTAGGAGGGAACGCCGACCCAAAGAGCCAAAACGTCTCCTTGTGGCGTGTCCTGCTTTCCCAAAGGCACCCAGGGGACCACTGACTTTTTCTGGTAGGGTTAAACTTCACATCTTGTATTTGGGTTTTGTTTTTGCTAAGCCTAGTTTTAATGACCTGGCTTTGGGGTTGGTTTTGTGTGTGTGTGTGTGTGTGTGTAGGACCAGGACCTTTTGGTGAAGGCTGTGAAAAGATTCTCCCCCATCACATTTTGGGAAGTCTTCAGGAGTTCAAGCTGGAAGCCTTGGCCAGAGGAAACACTCAGGTTGGTTTGCAAAGTTACAAAAGTGCTGCTGTGTGGCACTTTGCTGGAGGTGGGGTGTGGTTGGTGCCTCCAGAACCTTTCAGTACTTTTCAGCACCTATCAGGAGCAGGTCAGGCCTGAGGGGTGGTTTTCCCAGCCTTGTCATACTCTGCAGGGAGGCCTTGCCTTCAGAGAAGCTGCACCAGCAGGTTTTGAAGTCCCATGTGCAGGACAAGGTCATGGAGGGAAGAATTACAGAGGCTTCCTCTTCCATCTGTATTCCTAAGGCTTGTGAGGGAAGAGCAGGTGTTGCAGCAATTGCTTGAGTCCAATTGCTCAGCTAAATCCTTCCATTGTTTCTGGGTGTGTTCCTAGTGTTCTGGTTTTGTTCCTCTCCGAGGGATAAGGTGAAAGCACTGTCAATCTGAAGAATTCTTTTCTCCTCCCCTCTCCCATTCTCATTGTGGTGGTCCTGTGTGCATGGAGAGGTTGATTTAATGTTCCCTTTCTCTTCAGCTAGCAGATCGTATTGAGGCTTCTCCTCCAGATGTCACTGCAGCAGCCTTAAAAGAAGAACGTGGAGGAGAGAAGAAGAAAAGGGGTCAGCAGACCCCTCTAGTGGAGCACAAAGCTGAGCACAAAGCTCTCCAGAACTGGTACCGTAACATGACAATCAGGAAAAAGCAGGAGAAATATCTAGGAGGTGAGAAAAGCTGAGGCCTCATTCTGTGAAATTCTGTGTGCTCCTGGGGGAGTTTGATGGCACCACAACCAGCTCTAACAGTCGTAGCCAACGACTACGACTATTAATCCTATTGCTGTTGCAGTCTAATTCCATGTTCTCAGAGCTCCCCACGTGCTCTTGGCCACAGTGCTCATGGCCATGAGTGCTGTGAGGAGGCGAGCTGCTGGTTCTGGATGGGGCAAGCACGGTGGATTTGTGGGGGGACAGTGTCAGAGGGCTACATGTGAACAAGAGTAGTGGTAAAGGGTGTGCCCAGAAGTGCAGCACTGGTGATCTGACATTTCTTTATAGAAATTCTTCAGAGGCCAGAAAATGAATTGCTGATGAATGTCTCAGAGGATTACAGGCAAATCCAGGAGGAACGTGACCTCATTGACCGCAGTCTCCCTGCCCTGCTTCCTGGAAAGGTGAGAGCCCCACTTCCTCTGCATCCTGACTGCTCTCTTCTTGTGAAAGAGCTGAGACTGGTGGGATGAGTAACATCTCTGAAGACCTGTCATTAGATATTTATCAAAGCCACTCTAAGCCCTTCAGCCTGGTGTGCAAGCAGAACTTTCAGTGACTTGAAAAATAAAACCATGACCTGTGCTGTCCGTACTAGTGTGAGGAAGGTGGTGCTGTGCTCTGCCCAAGGCACAGAAAGATCTGATAGCTTCAGGCTTGAATTTTAGGGATTCCAAGGGAGGAAAGGGCACGGGTAAGCCAGGAGGATTATGGGAATATCCTATGTTAAAATAATATTTTTTTACATTTATAGCATTATCAAAGGATTTTCATTTGCACGAGGCATTATTTTAATATCCTTCAGCCTTCATGTAGCACTAGATAGAAGAAATTTCTTTTGCCTTTGACAGCAGCCTCATAGAAACTTTGATAATTTCTAGCCCTTTACAACATGCATATAAACAGAGGTAGGTCCCTTCTGCTTTTCAGCTTCTAGTCCCTGTGAAAATAGGTGCAGCTCTGGGAGCCTCAGCGGGAGCCTTGCGTTCTGCCCTAGGGTTACAGAAGAGGGAGCGAGTTCTGGAGCCAGCCCGAGCGTGTTGGAGATGAACTCACCGGCCTGACAGTGACACTGACCCGGAGAGAACGTGGCTGCCCAGAGCCTGTCACTCGTGTGGGGAAACCCTGCACCATCCGGGCCGAGACGGGTAACGGGGAGGTGGCAGAGAGGTGGTCCTGCAGAAATGGGGTGTGGAGGGGGCAGCAGAGAGAAACGGCCACTCCTCCTGCGAGTATGGGGGTCGCCTTATAGTTGTCCCTTCCAACAGCTGCAGCACAAGCTACTTCCCAGTCATCTGTTGGCCCTTCTTTTTAAAACACCATGAGAGCAAAGTTTGGTGGGGAGTGAGATTAATAAATGTGCAGGTACATAGGCAGTGAGCTCTTGTGTGGGTATTTCCACAGGTCTGAAGCCTCCAAAGAAGATCCCTTTCCATCTAACCTGGGATAAGAGTCTTTTCCTGAAACATCGACGGCAGGAGCTAAGATCTGTCCTGGAGGAGCTAGAATTTTATAAGCCGGTAAGACCAGAGGGGTGAGGACATTCTCTGCATCTCTCCTCTCTTGTCAGATGCTGTGGAGTAATGCAAAATTGCCAAGAACTGGATATGAGAAAGCATTAGGAATCTGAACCTTAGCCCCACAAGAAGTTCCCACACATGGGAACAAAGGGCCACACCCATGAAAAAATTGCCTGGCTGCCTGAAGTGCTCATTGCAAGGAGGGGTCTAGGAGCCTCAGACGAGGACCCTGAACCAGCAGCATGCAGCTGCCAACACCTAGACAACAGTAAAACCTGCAAGCACCCGGGCAGGATTTTGATTTTGTGCCTCAGGGCAGAGGGGAAGACACGAATCTGAAATGCTCCTGAAGGCAGGTAGCCCCTCTTGTTAAAAACTGAACAAAGCTCACCCTCTTCTTTCTGAAACATGGCTCTGGGGATGAGAGATGTGTGTGAGGGAGACTTTTCCCATCCGTGTAGCTTTTGAGTGGGGAATACTGTCATCTAAAATTCTTGTGAGATCCAGAACTGGTTCCTTCCTGTTTCTTAAACGTTTGTTGGAGACCTTCAAAAACCATCCTAGGAGCAAGGTGTCTCAGCTTCGCTTTACTCGAGTCAGTACATTTGCTGGTATTTTAACTTCCTTTCTATGTAGGAAGAGAAACTGTGAGTTGGTCATTTTTCTGTCTGCCCAGGATCTGGATGGCCTGGAGGTGATTGGTAAAGGGCAGCCTTTCACCTCTGTCTCAGCAGAGTCTTTTCCAGGTTCCACCACTTCTGAAGAGTTGCAGACCCAGTAAGTTTTACTTCATGGCAGAAATAAAGAATTTGGGGGATGCACCACCAATCTGAAAGGGTATCCTTAGCTGCTGTTGTCCAGAACAGAGAAGAGTCTCCACTGGGGCAAGATAAAAGACATATTCTAACATTATAATCACCAGATTTAGGAATTGAGTGGCTCCTTTTTGCCTTGGGGCCTTGTGCCTAATGAGCAAGAATCAGAGAAAAGGTTTTTGGAGGCCTTTCCTCCAGTCTTCCCCCTGTGTGGCTCCAGAGCTTACATTAGGCAGGGTGGGGATTCTGCCCTAAATTACCTCCATCTGGTTGTCTTTCTCCAGCCTCCCACTTCCACCATTAACTTGCTTTTTTCCCTGCCCCGTCTTGTCCATCTGTCCACCTGTAATGGGCACAACCCGAGGGTCTCTTCCCCTTATTCACTCACCTACCCTCAGCCCTCCCTAGGCAGGTTTCCCTCGTTAATACAAGGCTGTCCTTGATGGTGACAGGTAGCCAGCTGGAGTTCACCACGTCCGCAGGGCTCTGTCCCTG